CTTGGAATTATGTTCCACTATTGTATATTTTTTTCAATATATGCCTCTTCTCACTTTTCCCTGCTTTGGGCAAGTACTTGTCTTGTCATTTCCAATCCAGATTCGTTTTGTCCAGTTACCTATTCGGAATATGACATCATCGACTTTCGTGTGAATGTGTGTGTTAGAAGTGTCAGTTGCACCGCGACCAAGGTTGATCTATTGTACCCCTCCTTCTGCTGCTAAGTTTCCTGCTCAAAACAGCCCCTCTAGTCCTAGGCCCTTCAGGAATTTTAGGATGTCTAGCGGTTCCAGGGCTGGAATGTCTTCCAACTGTATAAGGTTCTTCATCCTTGAACGACTAACGGCATCACAGTTTAGTAGAAGATGGTGAGGTGTTTCTTCTTCGTCTTCACAAAATCTGCAGATGCCGCCTTCTTCTTACCCCAACTTTTGTAGGTGTTTCTTAAGTCTACAATGAGAAACCCGATAAGAGTATTGAGACTTTTCTTGCTAAGGTTGACCAGCAGTACTGATCTTTTTTGGTTGCAGTTGCCTAATAGATCTTTGGCCTGTTGTAGTCCTGACTGTTCTAGCTATTGTTTGTTCCTTAGCCGGTTCTCTTCTTTTTTGTAGACCCAACTTCTCCAGTGTGAGACATGATAACATGATCCACTGGCAACATTGACATCTAGTGCCGTGGTTGGGCATGATCTCATTGCTTCTGTTATACATAGACACGCGATTCTTTGCACTCCTAGGGTTTTCCTAGCTGGGTTCGACTATACCGGGCTACTGCTCCCTACGTAATGATAGGTCTCACTATCATGGTATACATCCATCTTAAGATTGATGGGTTACAACCCCATGTTTTTGCAGACCATGAATGCCGAAATTGCTTTGTTTTTTGTGTTCTCTACATGTCGGTTCCAGAGAGGTCTAGAATCTAGGGTTACCTATTCTTAGGAATTTGAAGTCTCTTTTCCAATCAAGTCTGTTTCCACCAAAACGAATGTTTCTCAGGTTTTGGAGTTTCGTTCTTTTTGTAAATGTAACCAGTGTGGTTTTTCTGGGTTTAGATTCATCCCCATTGTTTCCACCATTCCTTCGTGGTTCGAAGTGCTTTTTCCATAAGGTCGTAGAGGATTCCTTCGTATTTACCTCTGACCACGATGACAATATAATCGGCGTATCAAAAGCAGGTGAATAAATTTAGGAGGTCATCAGCTACTAGACTCCTCGACCTTCGTTACTAGTCTGATCTGGTCATTTCTGAAGTGATCCCTGTGACTTATCCTCAAAAGGATTCCATCTACGGGCATGTGTCTGGTCCTCAGTTGCTGATTTTGTTGTTAGTGAATGTAATTATAGGGATATGTTTAATATTCTCCCCTTCAGGCCTATAGGAATTTTCAGCAAATATTCACTCATTGAAATATAAATGTGAACCACAAATAATTCTAAAAATTTGTTGAATTATTATTGGTCGTAAATTGTACCCAAAAATATATATAGTTATAAAAGATTAACCAAATAAAGTTATCTCAAAAACGAGGTAGTTTAAGTCACGGCGAACAGATTAATGCCCCTAAGAAGATGCCATAACGGCAACCGTGGGAAAACAAACGGAATTCCAAAACCTATCAATTTCATGGTGATAAACCAGTTCATCCCTCTCATCTACCCCATCTAATAGCGATGAGACAATAATAAGTATATTTTCTTCCTGGTTCGACTACCGACTTCCTACTGAGGGGTGCAATTATTGATTTTTTTCACGACCCCTCGAGGTTTCAAGTTGGTTGCGTTTCAAAAAAAGATCGTTACTTGAAGAAAGGTGGTAAGTTCGTTTGTTAGGCGGCAAGATGTCATATACCAGATGGTACAAGGATAACGAAGTTTCATGCAAATGAAAATAAATAAAAATCAGCTGTGATTGCAAAGAGAAACTGATTAAATTCATTCATAAAACCCAAGATAGGTTCAATTAACTCGGAATGCAAGACGCCGACCAAAAATTACATCCTACTGAGAATCCTGACCCCTTATCAGTGGTTTTAAGTAAATAGTTTCCGATTTTATTCATTCATTGATAACGCCAGGCAGTTAAATTATTTTTAGAGAAAGTAAATAGCATTGACAATTATTATTTTTTGCGTTAATGATGTAATAATAATCTTAACCGCAGGGAATGGTTTGATAAAACCGTTTAGGTTTTAATGAAATTCCCATACTTACATCTGCTCTGTCCCTAAAATTTTTATTTCATTATGACTTGGAATACCAATAGTTCCCATACCTATAACTTTACCTAATTCAGTTTATTGTATAGAGGTATGTTACCTGGTGGGAAATCGTTTTAGAGCCACCTGTATGAGGGTTTCAATAGAGAATAGAGCGCTTTTAGGTGAAATTGAACAAGATTTGCTCTATTCTTTGCTGATGCATTATTACTTGGAAAAAATGAATAACTTATATAATCACTAGCTTTGAATTATTAATATCTAAGTTAATTTTTCAATCTAATTTGGTTGCAACTATGATTACCAGAATAACATTAACGATTCTAAATGGTTGATTTTAGTTTTGGGATGGCCGAAGCAGGTAGTTCGATTACCAAGCAAAAATTTAAACTTTTCAAAATACATAAAGCCGACCTGAATAGGTATATGTATGAATATTTATAAATTTTTTGACTAGGATGAGCTTACGAAACGTGATTGAATAAAAGCCACTCAACAATACATAAACAATTCTCCAAAAAAATGTCTTTTTCTCTAAAATAAACACTCATTCCTGCAACATCCTTCTTTAATATAATTGACGAGAATGAATCAAACGGGCCGCCATTTTTTCAACGTCACCCGTATTTCCTACCCAAAAACAACAAACTGCTGAAAGAGCACAGAGGCCCTAAAATTCTAACTGTTTACTCTTTGGAATCTCATTCCTAGGGTGGTCGACTTTAGTGTTTCTTGGAAGCGCCATCCCTCCATAAAGCAGGTATACGTTTTTAAAGCGTTTCTCAATGACTTAAGCTAACTGAAGAAACCGAACCGACAGACAGACGAATTTTTTTTGTACACACAAAATCTTAGTGTAGCGCCTTCGTCGCGTCAAAAGGACACCTCATTAGATAGTGCACCCAATGTAAATGTTTTATTAACATACTTAAATAATAAAAATGTAATTTTTTATTTTCCACTTTCTAGGGGTATCATAAATAAGGCCCTAAATTTAATCCATTGACACTAACAACATCTCTGCAAAAATTCCCATACCCAAAACACATTTGCATTTTGTCCTTCCTCAAATCCAATAACAATGGAAAAATTGCCCAAGATTAAATGGTGTGAGAAAAAAAATCGTTAGCACCTTTCCATGACCTTTTCTACCTCTAGCTGGAACATTATAGGTTTCAGGATACTTACGTTTCCCTAGGGTTACACAAAACCCAAAATCATCCCTTAACCGTTTTTCGGGGGTTGGAAAAAAGGTCTCCTTTTGAAACCGGAACAACAAGACTGTAATAATAATAGGCGAAAGAAATAGATCCGGTGGAAAGAGAATTCTACTTTTTTAGATATTTTTTTTTTTGTTAAGGGTATGCTTATTCGGGCAGTTTGAAAAGGGCCAGTATTTTATATTTAAAAAAGGGATTAAGTACGTTGGCCCAAAAGAAAATTATATCTGTAAAGGGTTTAACCAAATCTTCATTGTTGTTTTTCACAAACACAGGAAACACCCTTTATCTACACCAAGAAACTGTCATCTTCTGCCCCCTCGACTTAAATACATTATATCCTCAATTAAAATTGACCAAAATTGACCCTTGGCTGTCGCTATCTTTTACATCGTTTCCCTTAAAACAATTACGGCGACCCCCAGGAAATATGGTGGTTATTTTTTTTTTTTCAAGACAAAAGATGGTCAGGATATGAGGAATTTTATAGGATTTTGATATGACATTTTGATACAGCTCGTGTGCCAACAAGGAAATGGAGAATTAAGTAAAAAGAAACATTAATTTGGTTATTTAGAATGACAAAAACAGATTTGGAGTAAATAGGCCAAGAAGCCGGTCAGAAAAAAGGGTTCCTGCTGAGAAAATACCTCAAGTTGGTTTATCATTTTCATATGGTTTAAGGATATTTTAAATCTTTTTGCAAGAAAGGAGTGTCTATACTACTAATCTACAACAGTCAAACAATCAAATCATTCAAGAACAATCTTGTTCAACACACAAAGACGGCTAGGGAACACCTAAGAACCCACTTTTCCGGCTCAAATATAGTTGATCAGATTCAGTGGACATGGAATGAGACTAGACTTCGAAGAGCATCCTATGAAAAAGTCAACCTTTGACCCATATAAGTAAACAGGGACAGATGGGATCTATCCCATAATGTTACAGAACTTGCAAACAGAATACTATGTAACACGCAGGAGGCACAGCATTTTCGGGCAACCAAATGTAGAACCGGAAACAATAATGAAACACCATCCAGTAAAAGACCTGTACAACCTCGTACAAGGCACAAAAATACTAGAGTGGTTGGAATGAACCACACAGGCTGCCTGGAACAAGGAAAAAAAAACACAACAGGTTACTTTTAGCAGGATATTTCTTCCAAACTTTGGTATTCCAACCATCAATAATAATGTTGCTATTATTACTAATGATATGGTGTTATATTATACTTCATTAGAAGATGTAGCTCATCCAATAAACCTGCACTTTACTACTCCACATAATTCAAGTACATTTGCAACTTTACCAAAGATTCACTCCATTTTCAAGCCTGATGAAGGAGTCACACTTTTAGAGCCCAAAACATGTTTGAATCATACAAAATCTTAACATTAGTGAAGCAGAATGATGTTTTCTTCTAGGATATGTGCGCACATTGACAAAATTCAGTAAAAAAAACCACTTGAATGGTAGAATTATTTATTATATTGAATCACTATAGACAAGTAACGAAGCAAAAAAATATAAAAACATAAGAAATTCTACTTACCACTACAAGATCATAAGTAACACTATAATCTGTGTAAGCGCATAGGAGATCAATTGTTAAAAAGTTCGTACTCCTAAGTTTTGAGGCGATCAAGAGACAGGTGGCGCCCAACAATTGCAGGTGCTGCCTCTTGATTTTACAGACGCACAAAAATCGGTCCATCAAGTTCACTGCTAGCGGTAGGATCTGATCTTCGCACATTTGTTCTTCGCATACCTGAAATAGAGAAATAATTATAATTAGTTAATTTTCAAGAGCCCTCGTATATGCTTCTTAACTTAAACTCTCGTCGTACCTCGTAGCAATAAAATCATATGGTCGGAAGTGGTACCCCAGACGTTGTTGACTTTTTACACTGTGGAATTTCTATTTCATATTTATTTTAAAAATTCTGTGTGAGAGAGACGTACTAAACTGGAAACATGAATGAATGAATGAATGGCGACAAAACCGCATAGTATACTTGAAGACATTTTTATTTTGTTTTTATTATTATTGATTATTGTTTAACTGCAAACACCACACACAGGGGGGAAAATTTCCGAGGAAACCATAAAATACGTTTTGTACAATTGTCATGGCACTGCTTGGGCAAGGCTAACCTGTTGCCTGTGTTGCACAGAAAATGCGATGAAAAAGTTGAATATCGTCGGGGGAACAATGAACTTTTCGAATGGGTTGCCATTTTGAGTGCCGGCACATTTTCTCGTTAAAATCGTTCAGTTATTTATAGTTCCCACGTTTCGATAATTATTCCACTTTATTGTTTATTGTTGAAAAAAAAGGGCTTTTAAAGAAGCTCTGGCTTCTAGGTAGGTCTATTAGACCTCCTCCGAGAAATATTTCTTCTATTTCTATTTCAAACTTTTGAATTTTTTATTAGGTACTCTGGTATCTCAGTGAATGTGTTTCATTGAAGATGTTTGACAGATTTGGGGACTGGACTATTCTAAAGTGAAAAAATTACTTCAAAAGAAAATGTAATCTTTGTCTAACCTATTTGATCACCTATCAGATCTTGGGGATTTGTTTTCAGTAACGTTATCCTAATACCTACAATTAATTCAGAAACCGTTTGGACCAGAAAATGAAAAACTAAAATGTTACATTATACTCAGAGTAAATCAGTGTGTGACACTGAAGATAAGCAGTTGCAAATGTTAGCTTAAGCTTAAGACACTTCCCATCTTTCCACTAAAGTTAAATTAGTTCTTAGAAAGTCACAGTTAATCCAAAATATTAAATAATCAGTAGGCTTTAACCCAATCCCCAATAATTAATTAAGTAGGTATCTATCAGACGGTTTAAAATATAGGTGAAACAGAGGACATTTAAAAATACTGTTTATCTTAATGCCAGACTACTAAGTGGGAAGCGACAAACCATATATGTGTACATAGAAACCACGATTTTAATTTATTTTTTTTCGAGCAAAAAGGTTTTTAAAATTTAAATAGCCACGTTTTTACTTGTTTGATTCGATTGTGAGCAGTGGATACAAGCGCACGTCTATTTTTATCGAATTGTGAATTTAATCATCTATAATTAGTAATTTGCTATTAATGCAGCATAAAAATTAACAATATCAGTCTGATGGCGCGCTCTCATTCATAACCGAAATGCCATTAATTAAAATTTTTCCGTTGTTACTATGTATGGTTATTTTGCAAATTAGGCGCCATGTTTATCGTTAAACAGCGACGAGGGGGATTTAGATATTTCAAGTTATTACATACTCGTGAATTTTTATTTATCTTTATACCAATATTTTTTCAACTTTTCAAATAATTTACTTTCTTATAGTATCCTTTTTCTCCATATGGACTATATTCTATCATAGGTACCATTGCAATCTTATCTATGTTCTAGCTCTAGGTTTCATTCACAATATAGTATACACCCTGTGAAAATGCAATTGACAATTGGCGATCTTCATTAGATGTGATAGTATTTCTTATCAATAATCTTATGATATGTCAATAATAAAATATCCAAAAATTATGATTAAACTTTTCCTATCGTCTGTCTTTTTTCCTACATTCTCACGAATTGTGCACTTTTTTTTTCTGGAATCGATTAATAAAACGAAGAGAGAAGCCAAACCAGCCTAAAAGGATGTTAAACTTGATTGCCTTCATAAAAATATTATACACAAGTTTTGTGAACCACTGAATGAAGTTGGTTGTCTTTTATTTGCAATCGCATACCATCAAGCCGGCTGATGATACCAACTATTAGTAGATATACCAAAATGGTTAACTAATATGAATAATGAATTACTAATTATATATGACTTATATGAGAAAAGCATCTACAGATTTTATTATTGTAACATGTTTTTAGTTGACAAAATTAAATGAAAAATAATTTGCCAGTGGAAAACGTGAGTATCTATGTATGTCTCATTCGACACTCAAATGTAAATTGAAATTACCATTCAAGTAACACTGAGACAAAAATGAATATTAGATTTGGCAATAATTAGTTCATGTAGCTCTGCATCACAATGCCTTAAAAACTTAAAGAATTTGGGGATGTCTTAAAGATCACATATTCTTATATAGTTTATGATATCATTCTTACTACTTGATTTATGCGTAGAATTCAAGGAGTTATAGAATATGTAGTGAAGAAGAAGATAAAAAAAAGTGAAATGTGAGCATAATAAACAATTTATTGAGAATGCCATCTAAACCTTAAGTGACTGAGAAATTTCAAGAAGATTTCCTCAGTGACGGTTGCTAGTGATGTTAGACCAAATAAAATTTTGGATTCAACTAGGGACTGTGACCCGTTCATGCGGTTTGAAATTGTTGAAAACCTTCCAGAAGTTTTAGGATAGAAGAAGCAATTCTTAATCTAAAATTGATTATAGGGCACATGAACTTCATTTGAAATTTTTAGGGTTCTGATCTCAATAAATACTTATATCAAGACTACTATGTCTACTCATAACTAACTATATTATGTTATTTAAACCAGAAAATTATACATTAATCCGAGCATTAATCTTTTATCTACAGTCTTAGCATTGGTAGTGTAAGTATTGTACATTTTAGAGGCTTCTGACATATAGGATTATAGAGACCTTTATTAGTTGCAATATTTTCTTGGTAGGCTTTGGCAATCTGTTAAATATAAAGGACAACAATGGACAGGAATTTATTGATGAGAAGGAAATGGCCAATTTTTGCAATGATTATTTTATCAATGTCGGAATAGAAATGGAAAAAGAAATCCCCCAACCACAAAGACCTTGTAACGCAGAAACACCTGTGAGCAATTCCATATACCTAAGACCCATAACACAACAGGAATTGATTAAAAATATAGCGAGTCTAAAAAACAGCAGCTCCCCTGGACATGATAACATTAGTGCAAAAATTATAAAAGAAACACATGCAGAAATAGCCGATCCACTATTGCACCTGCTTAATTTGATATTGGAAAAAGGAATAGTCCCGACCCAGTTCAAAACATCGATTGTAACACCAATTCATAAAGCTAACGCTAAGGAAAATATAACACACTATAGGCCAATAAGTTTGATCACAAATTTTGCAAAACTTTTAGAGAAATCCCTCAAAACTAGACTAATCGATTTTATGAAACATAACAAGATTTTATCCCACAACCAGTTTGGTTTTCTTGAGGAGACTAGCACAGCAGATGCAATGCATAAATTGGTAACAGAAGTTGTAAATAATCTAAACAATAAAAAAAAATGTCTGGCCATATTTTTAGATCTTGCAAAAGCTTTTGACACTGTGCCACATAACAAACTGCTTGATGTCCTCTACAATTATGGAATACGTGGGATAGTGCACAAACTGTTCAAGAGCTACTTATCTAATAGATTGCAAAGGGTGAAATTGAATAATACATTAAGTGAGGAGCAGCAAATTAAAATAGGGATACCTCAAGGAACAGTCTTGGGTCCCATACTTTTTTTGACTTACATTAATTCATTGTTGAAACTACCTTTGGAGGGAATAGTGGTATCTTATGCAGATGACACATCGGTAGTTGTATCAGGAGACGACTGGGAAACAGTGAGGGAAAAATCAGTAAGATGTTTCAAAATTATAAGAAATTGGCTACAAACATACAAATTAACGTTAAATATATTAAAAACTAACTATATAGCTTTCTCCCTCAATAATGTAAACCGACCTTTATTTAATTCAATAATTGTTGATGATCAGACTATCAAGGAAACCGCTTCTACAAAATATTTGGGGATCATAATTGACAAGTTTCTTAAATGGCAACCTCAAATTGAATATCTATCTAACAGAATACGGAAACTTATACACAAATTTTACTTATTGAGAGAATTTTTAAATAGAAAACATTTGATGATGGTGTATAAAGCCTTCATCGAATCCATTATCAGGTATGGTATTATTGTTTGGGGAGGACTATACAATAATAGTCTACACAAACTAAACATTATACAGAAATACATACTTAAAATTATATTCAAAAAAGATAGATTATACCCATCACATTTACTTTTCAATGATGATATTTGTAGCGTAAGATCTATATATATATTGACAGCGTGCACTTTCATGCATAAGAACCCTGAACTGCAGCATTTTGTTGACCATAAACATAACACTCGTACCAGAGCAAAAAATAGTTTACAACTACCAGTGAGCAACAACAATCTAAATCTGAAATATATAAATTATTTAGGACCAAAAATTTACAATTTATTGCCTTTCTCCATAAGGAAATGTGGAAATTTGAAATCTTTCAGAACTCTAAGCAAAGAGACAGTTTTACGAAATCACCGTCAATTTGAAAGGTTGTTTGATTGAGGCCTAATTTGGGTATAGGTTTAATTTAGGATTGAGTTAAATTAGGTTTGATTTGGCATTGGAGTTAGGTGGGTGATAACGGGGTTTTTGTCGATTATTCATTTTGTTACTTTCTTTTTTCTTTGTCATTCTTCTTCTTAAATAGGGGAAAAGAGGTTGCGAACTGTTTGTGTTCGCCGACCGTCTAAGTATTTGTGATATTTTTTTATTTTTTTCGATTTTTTGATTCTCTTTAATTGTATAACATATCCCTAACATTAAATTAAAAATATTGGGTACCTACATTTACAGCACATACAGATGTTTATAACATCTAGGTGCTACAAAATAAATCTTGTTTAATATGAATTTAATTAAGAGTAAATCCTTACAACTTATTGTGAATCAAAA